TGTTGCAACACTTACGCCACTCAGCACAGCGTTCCACCGCGGCAGCTTCAATGCCTTCATCCGGCAGCTCATGCCTATAGGAATGATCTTGCAACTCGTGGAAACGCAGCAGGTTTGCTGAGACAGTAAAGTGCTCCCTTCCAACGTCATGTCGTTTTAACTCAGCTGGAGACTGGAGCACCTCTGGAGTTGGCGACTGACAGAATACACATAGTGTCCAATCAGTGGGGGCTGGTTTCTTTTCCCAGGAGGGATCAGCCTGTTGAGGATCACAGAGCTGGTAGGTGCTGGACGCTGAAATAGCTGCATGTGCAGAGACGGCAGCTTCAAATATGGCTGCCATGGCCATCAGAGGCATATTTCCAGGTGGCTTCATATCTGAAAAATATTCTTTTGGGCATGTTTAAGAAGTGTGGCAGATCATTCTGGGCCCCCAAAAGGAGCAATTCTTTGACTTTAGTACAAGCTACATGCAGGACCTCTGTGCCTTGGCTGAGACATGACAGACTACATGGTGGTTTCTGACCAATCACAGTTTGTGTGCGATGCCACTTGGATGGAGGTTCCAGGGACTGACTTCCAGAAACAGGAAGGTAACAATTAGGGATGTACGGTATTACATTTTGCCAGGACCCAACATGCCAATATTTCCCCCACTCATTTTGGATGTTTGTTGATATATGCACATGTTTTTTCTATGTAACAGCAGAGAACATCTGTTTACTCTTGCAGTGGAAATAATGTGTTATTATATCTACTCCTACCATGATGACAGTGGCAGACATAAAACACTTTTTTCCCCAAATGTACACATTCAGTGGAAAAAAAAAGAGAGAAAACTTCTTAATCTTATATCTAAGCCATGTCATATATATTATTTGTGTCTTTTTCAAACAAACCTTTAGCCTGACAGATGTTACCTGCCTTTCAGTGTTCATTTTGGGTTGATTTTAAAGCCTTTATTAACCAATACTGATTATGATACTGATGATCATTGCGTAGCCTGATGAACACTGGCATCTGAAGTGGTGTGTATGATACAAGCTATGTTGCGTTTTAAGAAGTCTCCAAAAAGAAAGGAACAGCAGATATGTTCATGTGTAACAGGAAGAGGACAGTAGGCTTTATCTGTCTTCGACTGCCTCTCCCTTCACCATACTGTACATGGAGGACGTTCTCCTATTGGTTGGCTGATCAGCCTCCGACACTCTGTGGAAGAGATGCTCATTAACATGCTAGTCTTTTTGTCGAGGTGCTATGAGCTGTCCAGGATGATGCATTGGCTGTCATCAAAAACTATGATACCATATGAGATCAAACAACCCTGTAGTCGTGCCCGACACTCAGGGTCTTTCATGTTGGGCTATTATCATGTTGACACTGTGTAGTCTGAAATAAGCTACAGGAGTTTTTCTAGCTATGAAAGATTAAAAAAAAAAAGTCCATACATTCTCAGGTTTCAGCTTCTTAAATGGACTTGCTGCACATCTTTGGACTTTTTATTTACAAACTGAACAAGTTTGAGCTTCTAGTCGGACCAAACAAGACAATACCTGAGATTCAAGCTGTTGTTTATTAGTTTTGGAGCTTTTTTGTGTCTTACAGTCTTAAGTGGTGAAAGAATAAGGAAGAAGACAGCAGGGAATGACCTGCAGCAAATGGTCCGATCACCAGAATTCAAACTGGGGACTCACTGCTTGGGGCATTAACACCCATGAAGCCTGTGTTCCCTTTACTATGTCCTCTGTCTCAGAGTGTTGTGTTAACATGCTGGTGTTTGAGGAAATTAGACGAGAAGTCAGATGATCAACAACATCATTGATATTCATCCTGAATAGGACATTAATGTCTGAACCGAATTTCCTGGCAATCCATCTAATAGCTCCGATATTGTAACCAGGACCAAAGAGGCGACAGACTGACACTGACTAGATGAACAAAATAGTTGTTGATCAGCTCTAAATCACTGACTTGTTGCAGGTTCCTGTGCGTATCCACAATTTAAGCATTCATCTGTTGCGGCTACGGAAACACAAAGTCGATTACTATCCTCAGCGAGCAGTGAATGCAGCAGAGCGGCAGCTTGCACAACACACGATGGATCCTGGGAACATGGAGTAACCTTGCCAACCAAAGTGGAAACTCCCCCACGCGTCCATTCATGTGAGGATGTACAGCCTTCACTGCTTCCTCACAATACCGTTTATACTGCGAGCGGACACCGAGCTCAGAGGCCGGGCCAGAGACGAGCTATCGCTAGGCAACAGGCAGGAGGGAATCCGCAGCACAGCGCAGACTCTGTTACTGCTGCCGCTCGAGCTGTACAGCCTCATGACAGATAACGGTCTGGGAAAGGAAAAAAACAAAAACAAAAAAAAACAGAGGGTCACATTCAAATTGTTCCCCTGCCACCTTCACGGTGCTTTAAATACAGCCGAGCGCAGAGTGAATGCAATATGTTTGCTGCAGCGAGGCTCAAAACCGCATAAATTATCTTCACTGGTTGGAAAAACAAGAATTAAATTAAGGACTAAATGGGAGGAAAAAAAAACCCAACGCATTATCATTCTCTAGTTGTCACACAACGCTTTTGATAAAATTACACTCAGATTAAAAAATGATTCTCGGTGCGAATAAGTGTTTTGTCTGCCTTTTCGAGCTGGATTCTTTTTTTTTTGTTTGTTTGTTTTTAGCGTCACACTGTTTAAAAGGCTCATAACAGCTACAAAATCAGCATAATAACAAAACAAGAAAGTAGTTAGAGGGAGCAGAGATTACCTCCACCAAGGATGCTCACTCTATTAATTGTGTTGTTAAATAAAATGTTCAGAAATGTTGAATCTGCAACTGAATTTACATTCAATTATCAGATTATTTACTGAGCCTCTGGTGTATAAAAAATGTCACAAGTTGAAGATCCAAAGATGACGCCTGTTTCTTTCAGCTGACCACCAAACTTCCTTAAAGTCTCTCCTGGATTGGAAATAGCCATCATTGTGTTCTTGTGTCACATCGCATTACTGGAAGAACAGAACTGGTTATAGTCTTTCTAATTCTTCGTCAACAAATCCCCCTGACAAAAACTGATCCAAAGCCATAACTCTCCTTCCTCTGCCCCACAAGAGCGCGTTTACTTCCAAAAACTATTAAAAACATAACAAGAGCCAGTTTGTCGCCCCGGCTGCCATGTTTTTTCATTACAATGAATATAAGCGCTGTACTTTTGAGTCAAACCCTCATACAAGCTCTCGCTGCCATAAATATGCAGTACAGCTAAAAATAACCGCCAACAAATGCACCGTTTGTTTCTGTTTTAGGAGAGTTTCAAGCTGTCTGTGGGAAATTACGAAGACTTTCTTAAAAATCTAAAAACATGTTTGTGAGCTATTCATATTAAAAAAATGATCCTCTTCTGCAAGAAAGCAATGTTAAGGCTGTACAAATTTTACACTAATGAAGAAGATATGAGATGAGCCAGTTAAACGAGCAAATAGAAACGGCGTGGAAACATGATGGAAATGTGGCATTTAAGCTCATTTCATGTATTAATTAGAGGAACGTTACAGCCTCCACACAAATTGGAGCTGATGTTTCATCAGTTTTTTTTCATCTCTGCAGCTGAGTGGACGCTTCAATGCGTGTTTTAATCACATGCTTCATGTATGCTGCAATTAACTGGCTAAATGTTCTTCCCTTTCACATTAATTTCCACTTGCTATTCGTGACTTTTACATTTTTGATTGATCATTTTATAGAATTGGCTGCCGAAAGGAAAACTCTTAAAATATTTGTTGCCTTTTTCCAGAAAGACTCCCTCTCGTACCTTTTTGTTTTGTTTGTTTACCTTGTTAATATGTCCATATGGCCGGTTTATTTATATGCAGGAAGATGCATCACGAGGGAGATAAGCGGTCGACATTATGGCTGAGCATTTCCACCTTGAAACTGCAGAGAACCATTAACAGCCTCACAGTTCAGACTTCCAGGGTTTCATATGTAACAAATGTTGAGGAACCAATCCGGACAACTTGGAGGGTGACGCTTTCTGTACTGATCTTCTTCAGGTTAGGTTTGAGGACTGAACAATTATTAGATTTCAAGTCCAAATGCCAGTTTGAAGGCTGCAATTTAAGACATACATCACGCAGCACGTCTGATTTTAAACTGTCCCGTTGATGGTTTTACTGATTCATGCTGCCCTCCTTGTGGGGCAGTCGGGTTTTTTGACGGCTTCTCATGAGGAACCGCTCCGGCACATTTTAAATCTATCACAGTGAGTTGAAGCTCGACTTTAACATTTTTTTTTCCCCAAGTAATGTGTGGAGTGATGTTATAGTGTTTGAGCAGAGACAGAGGTGAGCTGGTGTGCTTGAGCTACAAGGGGCAGAGATGGGATGGATGGAGACGAGGACTTCAAAGATCTGCACATTCTGCAGGAAGCCAGATTCAAATCAGTTCGTATTTAAATGAAAGCTAGTTTGAGGAATGAAGTGATTATTTTCGTGGGAAAAAAAAAACAGACCTTTGAGACACAAGATGAGTTTTTAGGGGTTAAATCAACAACCGTAGAGGGACATTAAATAAATGTCACCTGAGAAACAAACAGGAAAGAAAACAGACTGACAGTGGAGATGAAAAACTAGAATCACTAAATCCAGTAGAAGTGCTACAATGGTAAACACATAACCTGTCAGCTATAAATAATAAAACCCAACATGAAGGTCTGTTAAAGGATGGCTGTGATCAGTTTGGCCGAGTAAACCTGCACTGCGATCGATGCTAAAATTATTCCCTTGTGGATGTAATTAACCAAATAATTTGCTTTATTGAACATATAAGATGCCTTCACACAGGTAACAAAAACAGACAACTGATATGCTTGAAATGAAAAAAGAAAAACCCACATTTTATTGCACTTAAGTTATAAGAAAATAAAATTCTAAGTGAATCAAACAAATACACAATCCCTTTAAGGTTTTTTCTGTCTGTTTTCTTTTTTGCCAGGCAGTTTACATGAACTGAAAAAAAAAAGGAAAAAAAAAAAAAAAAAAACCTGCAACAAATCTGATTTCTCAAACCAGATCATAAATTAAAACAGAGGGATAAAACAACAAGAGGAGATAGAGCAAGATTGTTTTCTTTTTTTTTCTTTTTTAATATACAGTGTTATACCACTTTCACAGTTCAGCTTGAGTTGTGACTCTTGGAGATTGAGACGATTTTTCGTTTGGCTACAATGTTTCTGTTCACGTTTGTTGCCTTTTTGTGTTTTTATTTTTTCCACTGACGATCCACGAGGCTGCAGCCGCCCCGGTGGTTTTTAAACTGCAACACATGTAACACTAAGTCTCCCGGCAGCTCGACCTGTCTGTCAGTTGATGCTTGTGATGGTCTCCTCTGTTGCTTCAGACATCTTTGAATGGAACAACAATCACACACGGATACGGACAGTTCTTTCATTCACGTGTTAAAATCGATACATCTGCTAGTTTGAATTTTTTTTTTTCTCTTTTTTTTTTTATGCCAGTCCACACAGCATTTGTACATTTCCCCAAAGAACAGGCTGAAAGAGCTTTGTCCCAAGGAATGTGTTTACAAGTTGCCCATTAACACGCTAACACACGCACTCATGCACTCACACGCACGCACGCCAACAGTGTACATCCCCTTGTTTCCTCTCTGCAGGCGATCCCGTCAGTATCTGTCGGACACGCTCCCTCCTCTCAGCCTCGTAGAGGCACGTTTGGCTCAAGTTTCAGTGGCAAAAACAAAACAAAAAAAACCTAAAAATTAAAAAAAGGAAAAAAGAAAAAAAAAAGTTGGATGTTATCTTTTGTTTCTTTAAGTCCAAACATATAGAGTTCAATTTGGAATTTCGCCTGGGACTAAAACGTCACAGCAAGTAAAAGTTCCATCTCTCTTTTTACCATTCATCTAGCAGCATAAATACAGTTTGGCCACTGGGGGAAAACGGTAGAGGGGAAGGGGCTGAGGGGTGCAGGGGCATTAATCCACAGCGCTTCGAGCTAAAAACCTTCGCCTCCTCTCATCACAGCACTGGCACTGAGGAAACCACCCCAGCTAGACTCTGAAAAAATCTGGACAGCATTGATGTTTATGTGGAGACGGAGCTCCCAACCCAGGTGTGTAGAAAACAAAAAAAGGAAGAACAAACAACTCAAGTAAAAAGAGAAAAAAAAAAAAACAACAAAAGAAAAACCTTGTGACATAATGACAGCAAACCTAAACAGGGCAGGTTTCTAATACTGGGATTTGTTGCTGTTGGCAACAGCGAGGAAAGGAGGAAAAGAATAAAGAAAACCCCTTTCATATGATAAACCAAAAAGGTATTGAAATTCACAGTTGTGTTTGTGTGCGATATTGTAAAGAAATCAAACCATAGAAACCGAGTGGAGAACAACAAGAACGGAAATGGAGTGACAAGAAACGAGCCTGATTACAGGCTGAACCCTCCAATCGCTTTCTCTCCACGACATCAAGCAGCTCTTTAGGTGTAACTGTGTGTGGAAATTCACCTTTAATGTCTCCCTCCTTCCTCAATCTTTACCTACGGTCAATGTTTCCCACTTTCCGGTTGGCCGGTTGAGTGTATGTGTGTGTGTTTGTGGGCGCACGCTGATGGGAGGGGGTGTGTGGGGGACTTTTAAAAAATAATATATCTCTGTACATCTCAAAATCTGTCAGGCTTGAGCGAAACCAAGTCTCTGTGCGAAGCAGACCCCGAACCGAAAGGGTGGAGAGTCACTTCAAAAGAGTTCAGTCATCATCAGTCGATCCTTTCTTCTTCTTTCTCCCAGCCAATCACAGGACAGACTAGTCGCGCCCCCCCCCCCGCCCCGTTTCCAGCCCAATCCCCCTTTAACTCCACCTTGTACTGGTGGCAGGGGGTCAAAAGCAGGGGCTGAACACGTGAGGGTCTGTGTCTTTGTCAGTAACATTTGCCCAAAAGGGGGGATGTGGGAAGATAATGGTAGAGGATAGGACAGCCCACTGGTGGTGGTGGTGGTTGTAGATGTTGCGAGTTTGGGTGAAGAGTTCTGGGTGTTGGCCCTCCAGTTTTCAGGCACCTCGTCTCCCCTTCCCTCTCTATTCCTTCCTCTCTGTGGTTCACTCTCTTCGTCCTTCCCTACCATGTCCCCTCTCACTTCATGTCCACGTCAAAGTCCAGCACCAGCAGCTTGGTCTCCTCTGTGCCGTTGCGGCTGCCCACCGCGCACACCAGCTTGGTGTTAGAGGCCCGGATGCGCCAGACCACGCCGCCGCTGCCGCCGCTCTCCAGGGTCACCAGGTTGCGGATGAACTCGCCCGTCTTCAGGTCCCACAGCTTCACTGTGCCATCGTCCGAGCTGGTGATGACAAAGTTCTTGTTGAACTGGAGGCACGTCACGGCGCTCTGGTGCTTGTGGGGACCTGAACACACAAACAAACGGGCGGTCAGAGCGATGCAGCGCGAGGTGAAGAAAAGGGCGATCATTAGCAACTTTTCCAAGAACCTTTTTAAGACCTCTAAAACTTTTTCTGCTCTTCAACCAAAGGACCTACGATCTATATTACGTCGCTCGGCCACATTCCAGTAAATAGTAAGGGCAGTGTTAGCAGTGCTGGAAAACACTGACTCACCCAAACACAGGCCTCTAGGCTGCTACGGCTATTGTGAAAAAAGCAAAAGCAAATCAGTTTATTTCTCAGCGTAGTTGATCTGTACAGTTCTTCACTTGTGACAGAAAAGTAAACTGTACTGTGCAAGAGGGACTTTTAGCTACTGATTTAGTTCCTGCATGGTTTTATGGAAGAGGTCGGCCACCTCACCTGAAACAAAGATTACCATCGCTGACATCATATAAACCGATTCAACCGATTAATATCATTAACATTCAGGTGCATTTCAGGCCGCCATCAGCTGCACAAGAGACCAGATGTGTGAGGATCAGTGAGGAAACACTGTCCTGTTCCTGCAACCGTTTAACAAACGGAGTCAAAAACTGAATAGGATGATTGTGGCAAATAACTCAGACACAGTATGAAGCACTGAAAACGAAATCCCCCATCAGCCTGTGAGGTGAAGGAAAAACTGCTCTTCCTGAAGCTGTTGTGACAGTGCAGTGAAAGGCTGAGTTCCTCCTGCAGGCAGGTTGGAGGACGAGCTGCAGTGCGATGCCGGGGCTCAGGCCTGTCACTGTCACGGAGGGCTAAACAGCTTCAGCTACACCTGGCAGCTGGCAGGAGGCAGGAGGCCGGGGCAGAAGTGAAGATGGCGCCTGCAACCGCCGTCGCTGAGGTGACTTTATTTCCGACTGTACGTGTGCAGTGACTTAAGATTTAAGGGCCTGAAAATGATATCTTAATTAAATCAATTAGGCCGACACAAAAGACGGACAAGAGCAGAATCGAGTGCCGGCAAATGAACCCGCTTTTTGCTGAGGTTACTATAGCAGCCGTTTCTTTCAGATGCATCTAATTTATTTCTGCTTTCACAATCCATTTGCGGAAAGCATTTGTTGAAATCTCACCGTGAACAAGCTTTCACATCTTTTCCATTTTTGTCTCTGGTTAGTTCAAAGGCTGTTATTTACCCGAGTACACAATACTGCTCTGCACCAACCCCCAACATGCCTTCCTCCTCTCCTCCCTCCGCTCTCCCCACCCATTACCACAACAAAGCAGCCGGCTCCATCATTACCTATGCTCTCTTCAGCTGACAGGGATGGCCTTGTTGTTGGCCTATTGTCTTATCAAAACACTCTAATGAATAGCAGAAATTGTCCGCTGACCTAATTATATGACCTACAAAGTTCCCCGGCCCTCAGTCCTTTACTGTAGTCAACCTCTCTTCACGCGACAGACACACATCCTCCCCCCCCCCCCGGTTTCTGGTCCCTCCCTCTCTCTTCAGGCTCTCACTGGGGCATCCTTTTGTTCAGCTGCTGTGTGTTGGTGTTTGCAGGACCAGCATACAGGGCTGTAGTTTGTTAATGAGGGCATTTAGGGGTGGGGCACCGGTGCTTTGCCGCTGCTATTCAGCAAAGGATTTCAAACTTCCTGTGAGGCACCGGCGCTGCTAATGGAGTAAGAACTATTCAAAGAGACACAAAGGGAATGAGACTGTAATCAGGACCAACAGGCTCGCAAGGTGTTGGCTCAGTCCTCCCACACACATATTTAGTTTGGCTTTTAACTGGGCTGTCAGTATGCACCTAAATGCAATATTATGCGCTCTTTGTTGTTGGTCAAGGCTGGTGCTGCCATTTTGCTACACTTAGTGACATATTTATAGATATATATTCACATATCTGAGTGGTTCTTGCAGCCCGTGGCATAAATTTACCACTTTGTATAGGTCGCACCGTCTCTACTTTGACTGGCTTTTAACTAAGTTGACTGTAATTACAGCGGAACTCGACGTTTCACTTACTGTAGCGCAGCATCTAAGAAATACAAGGCAGACAGTCGCTACTGACTAGTGATGGAAATTAAAAGACCAGAAAAAGAATATTTAATGTATGACAGTGGTTTCCAAACTTTCTTTGATGTGCGACCACAGCCCTGTCAGATGAGTTCAAGTGCCCCTTCATCAACACTTCCTGTCAAGTTCAAAACCTTCCCTTTGAGTCAGATTTTAAACTAGATGGTACTTCACACTTTTAATTACGCAAGCACACAGCTACTGCTGCAGACGTTCTTTTAAACTGTCAAGTTGGTTTGGTCAAATGTGAAGAGACAGACGTTGAAGGTTCGGCTGTTTATCACTTCTTGCTACCTGCTTCAAAACTATTCATTAGTCACCAACAGTCAATACTACTTAGATAAGTGTTACAGCTGAGTTAATATGTGGATTTGTATAAAAATCTAAACATAACTTCCTGTTTTCTCTATAAGTGTCCCTGGCATAAGAATCACTGATGTTTGATATCATGTGAACAAGCGAACATGATTTTAGGAATGCTCATTAATAACTCAAACATTACCCATCAGTGATTTCTGTTGTACTTGTGTTTCATTCCAATGAGATCACACATACAGTTTATGGCCATAAATAATAAAAACATATCTAGAAAACCTTTGCATTATGTTCAAGTAGACAACTGAACAGCAGAAATTCCCATATCAAATGAATGCAGCATCCAAATCCTTTTAACTGTGCATCATTTTCAGACTAAATGTCACTGGTAATGAATTTCCATGAATAAAAGCTAGAACTTAACTCTGCTGTATGTAATTTGTTCAATACATGTTTTTACAAATGTGCACTTTGCAAACATGACAGTCAAACTCCCGTAGACCCACCTTGCAGTGTTTGCAGGCACTGGCCCGTCTTGATGTCCCAGATCTTGACAGTGGAGTCTGCGTTGCCTGAGACCAGGATGTTGTCTTTGAGCTCCATGCCGCTGGTGAGGGACTGATGCCCCGTTAGCGTGTGGATGCAGTTGCCCGTCTCGACATCCCAGACCCTTATAGACGTATCCAATGAGCCGCTCACCACATGGATCCCATCGAACTGCAGAAAGACAGGACGAGTTTTAACCGGCTGAAAATGAAGTTGCCACTTCAAGAGAACTGCAGCCGTCACCTTAATGTCTAGCTGATGGCCAAAACATCTTACCAACACAGCATACTTTGTTTCTATTAGCAAACCTAAGATTAAACCCATTGAAATGGATGAATTTTATTGATCTGTGAAGGCTCTTCTTTTTTTCTCTCCCCCCCCACACATCCAATAGGAGAGCACCAACACTTTAAAAGTCTAACAAACACCAATCTATCAGTGCAGTAAACAGCTCCTCTCTGAGGTTATGGCACCAGCTAAAGTGCTCTGTCATCACACAGAGTGGATGAGAGGACACTTGGAGGACACAAAGGAATGAACTTTTTTCATCAAATAACTAAACAGCACCACATGCGTGTTTGGAAAGAGCGCATTAAAAAATTACAAGACTACAAATAAATAGAAGTAAAATGAACATAAAAACATTCATGCAATCACATGAGATGCATCTGTTTACTTCTAAACTGGCCCGCGCACCATTTCAGTTCATAAGTATTCATGATGTGTACATGCTTAAAGGAGAGACGCACACATCAATAACTCCTAAGACAGTTGACAGAAAATGCAGTTCACCAGCTGTTCCTGAGTTAAAACTTGAAAGAACGCAAGTGCTAACTAAGTGAAAATAGCTAAATTAAGGTTAGTTGCACCACAAAAGCATCAATAGTGATTAGCTGTTACTAAATATTTAAGCCCAGTAACTGCCTGAACAGCTGCGGAGCTAAATAAACTGACCAAACTAACAGCAGGGTTCTGCACATGTTCAGACTGGAGTATAAACACTGTAATATATGAGCGACGCTTTATCAACATGCTGTTTCATAAAGTAGCAAATGAAAGAGGTTTTTAAAATTCATGAAACAGACTAAACAGCTGTCATTGATGAATTGTACCAACTCTTACACACACATGTTGTCAACTGTGTGAAAATGTGCACAAATAAAACAGAGCATTATTTAGCTTAACACAGACTGAAAACATTTTGCTCACTTGCAAAATAAAATGTATGAACTACTCTGCTAACTGTGGACAGCGTGTGAGGCCTTAACTCTGATCGTATGGGAGGACTGTGTCACCTGTAATGAGTACACTCTGTTGGTGTGGCCCTGCAGCGTGTGGAGGCAGGTCTCCGTCTCGGGGTCCCACACTTTGACCATGAAGTCGTAGGCACCGCTGACCACCCGTCGACCGTCGTACTGGACGCAGCGCACCGCCGCCACGTGGCCCATGAGGACGTGTAAACACTGACCTGTCTCGATGTCCCAGACGCGCAGCGTGGCGTCGCGAGAGCCACTGACCACCCTGAGAAGAAACCAGACACAGCGACTCAGGAATACGTAGCTGGACATTAAAGCTTTAAGCAACAGTCGGAGATGAATGTGAGAGAACGGGCGCAGCACAAACAATTCAAACCAAAGTGAATTTGTCTTTATGCTGAGTTGCACTTTCCCACGGAAGCAACATCTATCTCAAGTTATCTAGTCTGTAGGATTAAATTCAACAGTCTGCACAACTCCCCATTCATGCTGTGGCACCTGCACTGACAGAATAATGAGGCAGGTATGAACATTTCCTTTCACTCCTCTGACAATGAGTAACCTACAGCGTCACATTCATGTTCATACTTGAATGTAGAAAAACACCTCTTCAGCTCAAACAGCCCCCCGGAGCAATGTCTTCACCCGCAACAGAAAGACATATTAAAGGTTACAGAAAAGGAAACTCCCCGAAGGAGCAGATGTTACTCAAGTTTTACATTTTTTTAGATTATCACTGCATAAACAGTTTGTTCTGAGGATTTTCTTTTGTAGCATAAGAGCAAAAGTGTTTTGAATGTGGTCACTGACTGAGAGTGCTTTCCTTTATTTCCAGACACTTCAATAAAGACTGAGGCAGACATTTCTCCACATTATTTCTTTCACAGACTATTTGGATAGGGGGGGCAAAAAAAACATGCTGAAGATACACACAGCCCATACTCTTTATTTATTAAATGCCTCATAGCGCTACATAGATGGAAATCACCAACATAGTGTTCACTGTCTGCCTGCAGCTCACAGCGTTTCCACTGAGTGAGTAATCAAATGCTACACAAAAACCTTGGTGGGCCCTAAGGCGAAAAGAGCACTTTGAGTCTCCAGAGTGTGATACTGAGTGAATGAGTGAGCAGCAGTTCACTTAAGACGGCTCACAGGGTCTATTTAATCACTATGAAACCACATGCTCACTTTCATGCATACTGTCCCCTTTTAGTGCTGCAGAGCTGCTCTTTTTTTTTGCTTGATGGGATGGCTGTTAAGTCGGGTGTTGCGAATCATAAGGAACGTTAAAAAGAATATTTCACCTTTTATTCTTTCTGCCTGAGAGTACCGTGATGAGGCTGAGCTGTCTTAAAACTTGAGCGTGTTGATGAAGTTTCCATCAGAACGCAAACATCCGAGGGTGAAGACAATGGGTCGTTTACGAGAAGATGGCAAAGAAAATGTCTGACAGGAAAGACAATTAGACTCGGGAACTTCTGCTGGTAAGTGCAGATGCCAAAATCATGACACAAATTTAAGGAACGGGAGGAGGCTTGCTTGTTTGTGGCTAAATTACAAGCTGCCTGCGTGCTGTGATTACTCCTGCGTACATCTCTCTACCCAGGTGCCGCCCTCTGCCTGAACTGAATGTAGTTTTTCAAATAGTGAGAATTCCTCTGACATGAATAATCTCCGGTTGTGTGCATGTGTGAAAGGGCAGCTTTGTACAATATCCTGAAAGTGAGGTGTGGTCAAGTTTATATGAGAAAACAGCTTCACTCTCAACAAGTGACAAGCATTTTCATTATTTACTAATTTGATTATAATTTTTATTGTCTTTTCCCTTGGATATCAGGAAATCGCTTGATTTGTTTAAAACCAAAAGGCATCAAGTTTAACATCAAATGAGACAAAAGCAGCAAAAGTCAACATGGTGGACTTAGGTGGTGTTTGGTATTTTTTGTTTAAACAATGACTTAAAGCGTATCTATTGTTACAGTTGTCTACTAGTTTCGGCTCTAGAGTCATGAGATTAATCTCTCATCACGCTAAAAGCGCAGCAGGGCCAAAGTACACTACAGAATGCTGTCGTTAATCTTCTACACAGTCTTAAGAAATCTCAACAGCGAGATTTCCCCATACCTTTTCTCATGTAGGTGCATGCAGCGCACTGTTGAGGTATGCCCATAGAGGGTGTGGATACATTCTCCCGTCTCTGCGTTCCAGACCTTGAGTGTGCGATCAGTGGAGCCGCTGATAATGATGTTGTCTCGCATCTGGGATGACCACACGCCCCCTGTGTGGCCCACCAACGTCCGCAGACACTGAAAACACCACAGAAGAAGAAAGGTCCTGATCAGTATGTTGCTCACTGCTACCCAAGACTCTGGATGTTAGAAAAGTTAGTTTGAAAGACGTTCAGGGTGATTACATTCACACACATCAAAACTCACTTTAAGAAGTCATAAAATGTCATTTAGGATTTTCATTCTATCTGACCTCCTGTTGCCTTCGCGAAGAAAAAAAAAAAAAAAGTAAAATGAAATTTATGTGACCTTTTATGGGAGGGAAGAGCTCAGTGAGTCCACACCTGCTGCTGCTGTACCGGAACAAAATTTCTCTCTGAGCCCTACAAGCTTTTTATAATTGCTTTTACTTATCTGTTGGAAAAGCGGCCAATTCATTTTCTTTGTAGAAAGGGTTGACAACTGTCCTCAATAAAATGCGTCCATTCATCCTCATTAGGGACGGTAGATTAGCTATTGATTACAGCAGTTATGGAAATCTTGCTGATCAATTGAATTTGCGTCTCCACAGTTTGTCCCATTTGCGCCTGGATTTAATTATCCTAAATGTATTAAATTAAAATTCCCGGGGGGAGAGGAGCAAACTGTGGTTGTGTCAGGTTCAGAGTGGAGTGTGTTGCTCCAGTGTACAACACGTGACCCCTGACTGCAGCTGATGAGCCACTGAAGAGTGAATGGCGGTGCAGGGCGGAGGGTTTTATTATAGAGTTAAAGAGGAAGACGACACTGCAGCCCGTCTTTCCTCCTCTCTGTCCTGTGATAAAAAGAATCACTTCATTAACTAAGGGCCAGTGTGGCATGACCTAACAATCAACCTCCCTTCAATGTTAAAAGTCTCCCTTGTTTCATCCCTGTAGCCCTTTTTTCATACGGAAAACAGTGAACAAGAGAATATTACAAATTTGTGGAATATCATCGGGTATTATCAGGATTATTTACAACTTGCTCATTGTTGAACACATATCTCAATCCAGTTTTGAATAAGTACTGCTGCAGTGCAACATTCAACTGCAGGCCTGCAGTTTGTTGTAATCATACTGGGGATACAAGGATGCAAGATTTTCTAGCGAATCAAAGCCAGTGGTTGAAGCTCCAAGAACAAGAATCACAGTGTGATTAAAGCCTCCTCAAACACTGCGTGGGAAGAGAGAATATCTGAAATGAAGGGCTTAGGCATCTTTATCTGTCCGTGAAACAAACATAAAATAAGCCCATCCCCGAGAATGAAAGAAGATTAGCACTCGTTTAATGAACCTGTGAAGGCCCCCCCCCTTTTTTTTTTTGAACACACGAGGGGTTTCATACAATGCTTTACATTTGCATTAAATCTTCTTTTCGTTAAAAAAAAAAAAAAAAAGAGAGTATTCAGTTTAGCATCCACGGAGCTGGAAACTATAAAAGACATTATATGCAGGAGATTTACTTTTGTAATGAAAAATATCCCTCTCTTGACCTCAGCATCAGAAAATAAGGGTCAATGGTGCTCAATGTGCATTGAGCTAATGCCTCGCAAAGGTTAAACCAAACTGCCTCAGGTAAAGTCATCAGATAATTATAGACTAACAGCACATGATTAAACATTACTATGGCGATACGCTCATCTGGATAATTGACAATACAGGAAAAACAGGTAAAATAGGTTACAAATGTGTCATCAAAGTCTATAGAAAACATTCCGGCTGATAAAATAACAAGCGGCTCAACAATTGATGCGCACCACATTATGAGCTTAAATGTAAAAAAAAAAAATAGTGACAAATATATTTATCATAGTATATTTTCTTACAGGATTTTGAAATATGCAAAATGCTGTCCTGATAGACAGTAAATATCTTGGCTGAGGAAAAATCTCTGCTGCTACTGCTGCTGCCTCCTACTTTATTTCACCTTGTTTAAGAGAAAACTGCAGGTGAATAGAGCAGACATATGAAATCAAGTCTGATGGTATTCTGAGAGCTTTGCCAACATGCTTGCCATTTTCCATTTCTTGTGCTGCTGTTTTGATGACATGGGTGTGATTCACGGTTCGACTCCAGATACTGACAGCCTGATACATACAGTCCATGTCGCATAAGTACATGCTGCTGCATTCTGCTGTCCTCCACAGAAAAACACATCACTATGGAAGCACAATATCACAGACACCAACGAGCTAGCATCTTGATACAAGTGCATTTACATGCGACAAAAAGGAACATTACTTTAATGCAACAAATAAAAGTGTTCATTTCTCATGCTGTCTAATCCTTCTGTTTAGATTTCTAAGGCTACCCCAATCCTGTATTCTTAGTTAAAAAGAAAAGAAGGTAAAAATGCGTAGACATGCAGCTAAAGCATCTGGCAGAGGACACCTCTCCCTGGATGCGACAGCAGTCCACAGGTCTGCCATCTTAAATCTGCCTGACAGCTGAGGCTGCCGCCGACAGGCACCACCAAGGACATGTGCTGCTCTGTTAGGCAGCAGGCAGCCACCTCTGAAGTAGTGAGAAGTGTGCGGCTGTTTGTGTGCTTAGAAAGCAGGATTGACATGTCTGGATGAAGCTGGAGACGTGCAAAGACAAAGGTCCATCCACTAAAGACAGAGCCTTCAAGTTCTGTCTAAGCAACGGCTTCCATCGCGGGAAAACAAGTCTTTTGAAAGTCCTCCAGACCACAGATCTGAACTGCATGTGCAAGCTTGAACAGATACTCTTATGTAATTTTAATTTCAAACTCCCGTGTTTGTTCAGTGCAATATCTACACCACAAACCCCCATTGTGGTACCTGATCACTAAGCAACGGCCCAGTTTTCTCAGAGGTGTGGATGCATTTACATGAGATGTGCTCATATACTAATTCCCAGATTGCTTCACAGCATGTGTTCAATTCTCTCTGTTTCGAATAACAAGATAAATCAAGGGCAGGACAAAACTAGCAGCACAGATGAAACATTATCTGTCTGGGTGTTTGTTGAAGCCTTGTCTACACTGGAGTAAGGGTATCTGATGAATATTTGTACAACATTTAAACATTTAGGCCACGTCCATGCAAATAAGCCTGTTAATATGATACAACATTTTGCTTTCTGTGCTGAAAACACCCAGTGAGTTTGAAAAATACACAAACGCATCTTTGAGGGAAAAAAAAAACTAGATTGGACAGGATTCATTAAACGACAAAAACATCTGTTATGAGCTTGTTGGCATCATATTTGATGCAGTATTAAGAGTTGGGGACACTCTTTGAATGATGTAACACCACTTGTGTCACCCTTGTGCTGTCCCATCACAGGAGAATCTTTCTGGTTGATCCAAATTGAAGGTTTGTGAGGAAAAGGAGCACAGGAAGCCTAGAAGATGTGTTAACACTGCCTTACCTCTGGCACAATTTGTCTACGCTGTGACCAATTTCTTTCCCCATCCTATCAATTTAAATCCTCCATCTACAGTGCTGGATACCGGGGCAGCATTTCAGATCTCCTCTGAAGAAAAGCACACAGGTAACTGCTGATCTCTGAGAGTATGAGCCAATTTACCCTTGTAATCTAGAATCATTCCCCAAACTCTTTACTGCCTCGAGGGACTGCTTTGGACCCAAAAATCAAACATACGATTCTTTCAAGAGCTTGGAGGTGATGGAACAAAGAAGAAAAAGCTACATTTTCAATCTGATGGCATCAAACTTCAAAAAGGAGAAAGTTTAAAGACTGGAATCACAAACTCTGCTGATCATCATGTTGCCATCTCTTATTGATCCAATTCTGAGTAAGACCCAAGTTTTGGTGTTAGCAGAGGGGCTGTGGAGAGGGAGACTAAGCTCTTGCTGAAGCTGGAGGATTTGTTTGAAAGGTAAAAGGCGCACCAAGGTCAAACAAATCACTAGTAAAAAGAAAATTACAGAGTAGATGTACTGGCTACAATCTAGGCTACTTGCAATATAAAGGAGAAAGGGAATGCTACTGGATGTGCATCCGGAGCACAAAAGGATTTCATCCAAGGTCCATCACAGACTGTGTAACACTGAGAGTCCTGTTATAGTCCTGTTATAGGCCTGCATCACGCAGGGACGAACTATCAGAGGAAAACGCAGCAATCAAGTCCTCAAATACGCTGCAAAGACTATAAAGAATGTTGACAGCAGAGAGGAAAAACTAATGCAGGTGTTGGTAATCTCATCGTATTGTTACTTTACAGTTTTACTGGCATCGACAGCCACTTCACTGAAATCGTCGACTCGGCTTAATTGGCCATTCCTCTCCAGTGAGGGATTCTCTCTCTGATGTTGAGAGCTAAGGAAGCAAAGAGATGAAATCCACCGAGGGGATGTGTGCTCTGAATACAGCACCCAAACAGAAAGGGATTTAGGCTCATCTCTTCTTCATGACTAATGTAAACAAACAATTCTGAGACAGCTTAACAGTGTAGAAACCACGTTCGCTGTGCGTGCGTGACGTCAGCGTAAATGCAGGGTGGTTTCAGAAAAAGCAGTCGAGCCTGTTGGTGGTGATGTGACTCATCGCAGGCTTCGACTACCAATATGGAGCCACTGCGGCTGTAACTCAACAGCCTGTCATCCAGATATTAGTGTTTGGGAGAAGGAGAGCCAAACTGTGCTCCATGCCTATCGGATGACCTTGGCCAGATCTGTTCAGATCAGCAAATGCTGTGACTGATATGCGTGTAATCACCAGTGGGCTGCGAGCCAACTTTACTTTATGTGTTCGGCCGAGACTTTGCAGCAATGAAAAGCAAACTCTGTGGTCTATTGTGTCAAGAGGAAAGAGAAACCCACTGCAGTGTGATCATGTAGAATATCAATTTCTCTACGGGCTTCTCTTTGAATGTTTTTATTTTGTGAAATGAAATAGCAAGTTCACAGCCCAAGCTTATCTCATTTATTTTAGTAAAAGTGAAAGGAACAGAGGGGGAAGAGGAATATGCAATAAAGGTGTACAGAGGACTTTTTTTTTTCTTTTTTTAAGTAAAAAGCTCTCTGGAAAATGGTGTCCAACGCTGAGGTAAAAATGCGCTGTGATTTACAACAATCTGTAAACCTTTTTCCAAAACCACAGTACAACCACTGCCTTTCTTTTTAATACAGAGCGTAAAGCTGCAGCACAAGGCCTGTGTGGCTGCACCAGCTTCGGCTATGAATACTAACACTGCATGCGGACATGTGCTGTGTAACAAGTCTGCAAAATGGATAAATGTAAGACGAGAGGATAGACTGAGATAGAGTGGAGTCTTGCCAGGAAGATTTTATGTGGTGGAGCAAACGTTTCTAATGACCAACTATCACATTAGTGGGAGCTGCACGGAGGCGGCTCGATGCTCAGAAGGCAACAATTGTTTATGTTTTATGTATATCTAAATGCACAGCGTGCTGCATATGATGACAGAAAGTCTTTACAGCTTTTAATCAATACTCAACACAACTCTGTTCCCTTCACTTTCAAATCAATAAGTTTAAAAAATGCATGAAAATTATTTAACGTTGTGCCTGCAGCCCGTTTAGGCCTGACTATGAAACAGTGCAGAAGAAAAAGACGGTGCTGAAGTCGAGAAATCGAAAACTAGTTAACCCTTACCTTTCCTGTGATAGCCGACCACACTTTGAGCGTGTTGTCATCAGAGCCGCTGACGATGCGGTTGCCACAGAACTGGAGGCAGGTGATCACGTGGTCGTCGTGGCCTTTGAGCACCTTCGGTTAAAGAGAAATGCAATAAGAAGGTCGTGCAGGGAGGGCGAATGTGGAATGACAACGCAAATGATAGAACCGATACTGACGGTGACACGTCTCTGGAGCTTTGCACATCAAAGTGAAAATGAGATAAGAGGAAAATGTCATCAAGTGCTGCAGGTGTACACAGCTCTTTAAGCAGTGCTGTGTTCTTGTGTGCATGTGTGGAGTCTCTGCTACTGGGTCACAGGACTGCTGGCTCAGCAAATCACAGAGCACACTTCATATGCAAACGAGTGCGAAGAGCACAGGAGACGAAATTTATGCCTGTGGTGGCCTTAAACGACCTGTGGCTGCTTCAAAAACAGCCAAAGCGCACAAGGTCCATTAAGGATCAGCTTTAGCATGCTGGTCATGCTTTATGGGAAACTTCTGAACAGGTCAAAGATAAATGGAGTCTTTAGAGTGAAGGAGAATAAGATCATCCTGTGGTCGAGCGCAATTATTATTCCACACCAACACTGCGGAGCACGGACTTGACCCATCACTAACTTTCCATCAACTCCACACTTCAGGCCCTTATTGAACCATCTTTCTGTGACTCAAAGCTATTTGATATCAGATCTATAAGATCTGCTAACCTGTGGGGAATTAAAGTTTAGAAGAAAAACTACCTTGGGTGATTTGAGGTCCCCTCTCCTCCAGTTAGTGTCTATTCTGTGCTGCCTGATGTAGGCACTCTTCCAGGGGCTGTGAGTGAAGCCGGGCTTGACAATTTTCCTCTTTTTCAGGGGCAGAGGCTCATCAATACCTGTTTGAAGAGAGAGAAGAAGCTGATTGCACTACTATGCTCTTGCTTTTCCCTGTAAAAGTTTATTTTCCAAGCAGGTGTAACCACAACTTTAAGCACAGTGTTGACCACGGCAGCAGCTCCCGGCTGCTCCCGCTGGGCGACTGCATGGTGTCTGTCCACCTGCATCTGTAGCCAAGACTTAAAACTCACCCTCTTCCCTGCATTTCTCTCTCCACAGCAGGTTGTCTTCTGCAAGGATGCGCCAGTAGCGACACGTCTGTGCTGCTTGGAGGAGGTCCTTCGGTTCCAGGAATGACAGCACATACAAAGCCAGCTGTTGAAAGACACGGACGAGGAATGTGAGAGGTGTAAATGGGAAAGGAGACACAAAAAGGAGCCATTATTCTCGACAGCGAGCGCATACAACAGTACAGCCGATGAAAAAGGACTTTAAGTTAACTAAATCACAATAACAAAGAGAAACAGCCAGGAAAACACAGTTGCTGAACAAACTATGTGAACAATATTAACAGCATGAATCTAACTGTCAAGTGTAGAGAGCACCATTACCATTGAACTGAATCAAACGATGCTGTGAAAGCCTGACAAAAATGTACAATAGGAGCTTCACACAGCAGAATAATAAAGCCAGGTTTATGGTTATTTAAGCCAAAGCCAGCAAATAAAGACACAAAACCTGGTATAATGAGCATAAATCTGGACTCATGAGCTATGGAACAAACACAATCCCCTGCTTTTTTACCACTGACATATTTCAAATATATGTATATATTTGAACAAAGCTCACAACACACAATGTCTGCCCCAATTATAAAACAATGCCATGGCTCAAGTGATTGCTTTGCATCATAAAAGGGATTATGGGTTCATTTGACAGGATGAGGTGTAACCTGAAGTGCAAATATTGTTCTTCCATTACATTACTACAATAATCTGAGATGATGCTGCTCCACAACACACCGACACATTCAGGAGTGGTGTCGTGATCATCAAGGTGGAGTCGAATGACTGTCTGATATTTTGCTCTTTAATGCCAGTATGTAGGTGCGCAACTAACAATTATTTTTGTTACCCAGTAATCTGCTGCTTATTTTCAATGTTTGAGAAAAATGGCTAAAGTAATTGCTGATAACTTGAGGTGATGTTTTTATTTAGCTTGCATCCAATGATATTCATTTTAATATCGTGTATGATAGAAACTGCATCAAATAATGTGTATTTTTTTATATATAGAGAGAAGTTGGAACTTGGACATTACTTTAGCTTGAAAAATTATGAATCAAGTATCAAAATAGTTGCTCTTTGTTCATTTGGTTGTCTAACTGCAGCAGCTCAGGTTGGGTGCAAGCGAAAACATTTTCACAAAACTATAACAAGTGACTAAAAAGTCTGCTACACAACCTTCAGGTTCAGTCATGCATTCTTGTTAACAAGCACACCTGCTGACCAGTTGCACCGAGTGACAAAACAGAGGAAAAGATGACTCATAATTTGGGGTTTGGATGAAGTAATTACAAGGGAAAGGGTTTTTAGAAGCACCTGAACTACCTTGAGCCTGTCATAAATGCTTCTCATGACTATGAAATAGGATGAACTCTCACAGATTTTTTTGTTCCAACTTTGTTTATTTATTATTTGTACAGGATTTGCTGATTTTTTTTCCAGGGAAATGTCCTTGTTGCTGTTACATTTTTCCAGAAGGCTAGAAACAGCTACATTTTTTTTTTGGATATCTGAGATAGTGAACAACAGGTTTTGTGCACGCTTTTTTATTGCAAATTTTTGCTTGTCTAGTGTTCAACATTTCAGACGTCGTTGTTTTGTCTACCTCCTGAAGGTCTTCACATGTTACAGTTTAGCATTTACGTTTACTTTTAGGCACTTGGCCCTGAAAAGACCTATCACCAGTCCTTGACATACCTCCATCACCTAAAAGCCTGTCTAAGCCAGCAGTCATTACCGGCCTTGAGGATATTTCAAAAGTTTTATAAATGGACCTTGAGCCCGTGATTGCTTTTAAAGCCGACGAGCGGCCTTCTGTAGAATCTGTTCATAGATTCAATTCCAACTGTGTCTATGGTGCAACCACAGGGATTGTCCTGTTTAAATTACTTGACAGCCCCACCCAATGTATTTCCAGCAGCTGTACCGGAGAGGAGAAATGGGATTATCAAAAGATGTCAAAGCGAACGGGATATAAAAGAAAGGAGAAACAGCAAAGGGGGGGGAAAAAAAATAATGAAAGGAAGGGGCTCTTGTCCCAGTGTGAACACACATGACACTGTTTGTATATTTGGCTTTGGAGCAAGTGGTGCTGACACCTTGAAATCTTGCACCCTATTGCCTCACTCTCTATGCTCGCACCACCTCCCCTCCTCATCCTCACACCTGCCAGACGAGGTGTTAAGTATTTGATCTGCTACACAAGATAAGGTGGATTGAGGCCGTTTTGTAAGAATCCCTTATGTGATCTTATTATCAGCGTGGCACTTGAGATTGTTTGTATTGTCAGTTATGATACAGAGCAAAAACAAGACACCCACTATGGACGCCTTATAACGATGTGAGGGAAGACTGCGACAGGATTACGGCTGAGAGGATGACTCGGCTCTCTGTCAGGTGTGTTCGTTCCACAATAATCACAGGGGATTCCTGCGGGACTTCGGGCCGGGAGAAAGCGGAAGCGGAGGCAGGAGGATAAGGATGGGAGAAGAACTCACCTCTTTGGGCAGCAGGGAGATGAAGTCTCGCTGAAACTGCGGCTCGATCACCTGCATCATATGCTTGACTTGTGTGGGCTCACAGCTGTCAATCAGCTCATCCAGCGCCAGCAGCTTCTCTGGGCCTGTCCAGCTCTGGAACACACACAGCACCGAGAAAATGGCTGAAAATGACTTAAGTGCTCTAGTTTGATGGTGGCAGCATGAAACAGTGGTTGCTGTAAAGTGGCAGCTTGGGTCAATGGGCAAAAAGGGTTGGAGCTAATTTCTGAGAAAATCCTGAGCTGCACTGGTTGTCAGTCACATATAACAAATGTGCACCTTTATCACAGCTAAATATGATTGCATATCACTAAAGTTTACAGTTCACCATTGACCTCCAGTAGTTATGTGTTATCATAGGGAAAAATGTAAAGCACCCTAATCATTTTAAAAACAAGTATAACATTGTTTACAAAGAGGCAGGTGGGATTTAATGGCTTTGCAGTGACATTAAGAGGTACACTGGGGAGGTTTCTGGTAACAAACAAAAGTTATATCTTCTTTCCCTGAGGTTGAATAAATGTTTTGAAGGCAATTGTTTCCTCATAAAAGAGGTGCAAAGCTTCTTTTTTTTTTTTTAACATTTCTTTAAATAAAGGAATGTGTACCACGTGAGCCAGTGAGAACAACAGTGACCCAGTTGTAAAAACAAAGCTCTGCAGCACTAATGGTCAAACTCCACAGGGCAAGTTATGGATTAGCCGAAGGAACTGAACTATTACGCAAAGTCACTTCTCTTTGACTCTGTATTGCATTCAACTCAATGATTTTGTCCAACTTTGCTTTTATTTACCAAACCATGTAACAACATCTCTGCTACTGAAGTGACCCCGTGTTTCTCACACTGTACCATTACAACATGCATTGATTTGTACAGTAGCGCTCCCTCCTTGTCCCCATTTCTGTTTTCTTTCACTGCAGTCTGTATTCTCTTTGTGCTTCTTCTCTACAGACTCTCAAAAGGGTCAAACATATTTGGCTATTACAGGTGGCAATGCACTAAGTGAAGAATGTCAGCACAATATTTATCATACATCCACATCTGGATTGCCACACCCAACACAGCTGTGAACGGAGGATGAATCAGAAACACAGCACCGGGGCGTTAAAGGATGAATGTCCCAGTTTACTGCCATTAAGCTCGATGCCTAAATGTGCTTGTGTAAGCTTCTTTTTTTCCCTTCCAAGTTTGATATTTTGATTGGAGCGCCTTGGAAACATCCTGCCCTGTGCAGTGCGCCTGTAACGCGTTAATGTTCCCTACGTGCCTTCCACAGCAGCGGCAGCAGCACAGAGTTGCTTGAGGCACCTGCATATTTTCCAGCAGCCAACACATCAGTGGAAAATTTGAACATCAGGAACCAGACTCCATCAAAACCATTATCAGAGCTCTGTGGGCTTATTTCTTCTGCTTGAACATTCGGTTGTTTAACAGTTGCTGCTGAATAGCACTGTAACTGTATGTTGGACCCAACAGCCGCAGTTGTTTTCCTCTGCGGAGCGCTGAATTCTAACAATGATTACAGGCTGCGAGGCAGGGTGGAAAATCTGGCACACGCAAACCACCTGTAATTTGGCAGCTAAAAGCTTTAGCCAGGGGTGCTGCTTCTGAAGGTAATCAGGGGGTGCAGAGACCTCCTCCCTAACAGAGGGAGGACCACGCAACAGCTACTTATGTGTTGCAGCAATTTTCTGCCATTGATTATTTGTACTTTAAGTTCAAACAGAAACCTGAACACCGCAGGTTCACGACTATCCAACTGAGATGAGAACATTCTGTCTAGTGAAGCCTAAAGCCTGCAGTTTGTGATACCTTTAAAACTATGCAAACTGTAAAATGGCATTTCATTCAAGTACTGTGAAAACACTTTTGGACATTTAGATATTTTGTATTTTTCTGCTGTGGGCCGATAGTGGAAATAAAAAGTGAAGCCAGTTTCTACTTTTTATTATTATGTTTTGATCCCAATATTAAGCTGTCTAATTTTCCAGAAACATCAGTTTCCCTCTAATGTTAACATGCTTTTAGGGGCAATGTATACTGTACCTGGTATGTTTAATTGGAAATGGAGGTGCTCATCATTATGCTTGTTAAAATATTTTTGCTTTAATTTGAAACTATTTAAATAGTTGTGACTATTTTGTCAAATAGCTAAGAAACAGTCAAATATATTTTAAAAGGCAAGTCCTTCTCACAAATTTCTATGCAGGGGTTCTCTAGAATCTCTAGTGCTTAATTTCAGTTTTTCCTTTTCGCTCAACAATTTTGTACTTTCAAAATTTCCGGCGTACTTCTGCTTCAGTCATCGCTCTCTTAACCTTCGACACAAACCTGGAGCTACCATCTGCGATCTCAGTGCCACCACTTAAACATGAGGAGAATTCAGGCTGGCTCACTGATGCACATGTGCGACTCTTTTGATCAGCTAATCATTAAGATGGGCTGCCGACAAAATCCTTCAGTTCAAGTCATTCAGAGAAACACTGAAGTATGTGCTGAAAAACTGCCACTTAATTTCAAAAAGTCGGGATTCTTACACTCTCAACAGGACTGCTACCAAAACACAGATTACGTTAAATAGGATTACTATGAGCTATTAAGACACTAAAGAGGCAATTATTTGATCTTTTACGCCAGCCATAATGTTGTTCAGATAAAAGTTCCCTAGAAATTGTCATTACAGTTAATTTTAACAATATATGTAACAAATATATGACATTTGAAATATTAAACACATTGTCTTTAAACTGCTTTTGTACAAAATATACCAATGAGAGATGTTCATTTGTGAGCTTTAGACGTGTTGGTGGATGTGGATTATGTTACCTTTGAACACTCCTTATGCTAAGAAGTATCCTCCTATTTTATCTAGAGAGTGGCATTACTCTTCTCGAATTTTCTCAAAATCTCCACCTACTCCTAGTGTAATATGTGATGTTTCCACAGTTAAGTGTTCTTTTCCTTAACTTTCAGAGGGCAAGCATATAAACATTTAGTTTCCTCTACGTATGCTGTTTTATAGTTGTGCTTCACCCTCTAACAGCAGCTACATACAGGCCAGGACTGGACTGGGGAATGTACAGAATGTAGTTTTGAGGTTGAGCTGCCTGTAGCCAGAGCTGTGAGATTAAAGACAGCAGACTGTGGCAGGTTGTGCCTGAGGACTAATATACGTAAAATAAACACTGAGGTGTCACAGGTTCACTCGTCTATTCCAGGATAATAAGTTTAAACTCTCTTAGGTAATGAAACCTATGGCAACCCATTATATGGAAAATCAGAGGGACCCCCATGAAGGCTAATATGTTTAAATGACATCTTATTTCCTTGAGGTCTGAAGTCATTAGCGCTTAAGTCCAACATAAAAGAAATGGCTCTATTACGATGCATCTGGACAGAGAATGATATTCAAGGAATAATAATAGAAACTATATAGATAGAATAGAAACTATAATATGATTTCATGTTTCTATCAGTCCGTGGTCCCCACACTTACCGACAGTAATCAGTGAAGCAGCTGAGAATAAGATTAAAATAATAAACGTTCATGTCTTTGCTCATCATGTACATTCACACTGCAGTAACTTCTGTATTTCAGAGGATCAGAGAGGATGGTGTTTAATACAGACCATAAGTCTACTTTAGACTTGTGTGATCTTATAACTCTGCTTTTTAGTCTGAACAGGTACGGCTAATCCCAATTCCACGCTACAGTGCCTATGGTAATGTGGTGGGCCACAACAACAAGGCTGCAATTATCTCTGAGACTAAGTGAACATTGATTGGGCACAACATCTGCTTTTTGATGAGCTTTTGCTCGAGGGTTCGCCCAAGGGAAAAAAAAGAAAAAGAAAAGAAAGAATAAAACTCCGGTGTGCTCACCTGAAATGTTCGGAGCCATTCTTGCAGACCCGTGGGTGGCTGGATTGAGGTGATGCGTCGCCTCTGTTGCCCCTGACTATTGGCTGTTCTGATGTGGCCAAATGTGGTGGGTGTGGCCGGACATGGGACAATTCCCGTCGGGCTGCAATTTAAAAGAAAAAAAAAACAAACAAACTCATAAAAATCAATACTGATACGAGACCTTGAGGGGCAAAGGACCGGCTGCAGACATCAGAGGGAGGATGTGAAAACATTGCTTTCAACAAGAAAGAACATCATGTTACCATTACGGACACATTCAGGATACACTTAATGACAACAAGAAGAAAAGCATTACGAGGATATTTAGGGTCTCAGCCTTAATGGAAGTTGAGAAAATAGTTACAGGGCAAATTATTTTGATTAAGAAAACATAAAGAAGAAAGAGAATTAAATATTTAAAGCCGCATTTTAAACTAAAAGCAGTTTTGTCTATCACTAATTTGATTTAGCAATTAAGGCCCAGCTTCTATTCTGCTGGCAAATTTAAATAAAATCTACATTGTCTTTTCACCGTATGGCACTCTCCTTAATGAACTCTATTCTTTTTTCCTATGGGCCAGTTAGGACCAAATTAAGAGATATATTGTTATAATGAAAGGTAAAATGTCTTGTATTTACTCTATGAACAGGTCATTTATTGTCTTGAGGCTCAACAGAAATCGTAATATTCTTACATACTTGAAAGACATTTATACAGTCACAAAACTTCAGACTACTAAATCACTGTAGTTTCACAAACATGATACCGAGGATATTTTTATGTCTTATCGTATGTTTTGCAGCTTCAGAAAATGAAATCAAATGCAATATGTCATAGCCACAAAAACTCGGTAAAGACTTCCTTGAAAGTATTCCAAACTATTGTGTTTCTGTTTTGCCCACCGACTTTATATAAATGAGAGCAGGCTACATGACAGAAACACCTCTCTGAGTAATACAATACAATTCAACAACAAAAAAAAACCTTCAGCCTCCAAAATGTTTATTATGCTGAATCGACAGCTCTTTAAAACAAAAACTGATCTATAAAACCTTCACGAAGACTGGATTTATTACAGGACTGGATTCTTTTCAGCTATGTATACCTAATAAAATGGCAAGCGAGGGTATGTTTCTGACTCAGAGACTTCAAAGTGTGCACACAGTCCCACAGATTTCTGTTCAGGCCCAGACTCTCCTGTTGTGCCTGGATGTGAAAAGCAGTGCAGGACTTCAAAGAGCACCCATGTACCCTCGTAATGTAAGGGCAGCAGGAGAAACCATCCAGTGGGCACCCTCGATGCCTCACATTCTGCTTGCTGACAGCAAAATGGGAAGCTGGGGGTCGATTTCATTATTGATTCATTTTTAATGGGAGAGGAAGCTGAGACGGAGCCAGTTACATAGCAACATTTACAGTTAAGTGGCTGTGTTCGGTTTGAATTTTAATGTAGCTACATGTGAACACGTGCATTAAATATTCAGGGGAAGAGAAACATCTGGGACTGCTGACTGGATGCTGCAGATACAATGGAACATGCAGCATCCTTCTGTTTGAAGATACATATAGCGCCTTTGCTCATAGCTCTGTATTTCTCTTCATGGTAGGCTCAATTATTTTGTGCAAAGCATGAAATTATTGAGATAGGGCTACTTATAAAATCATTTTTATTAAAATCATTCTGACCCCGAGGTGGGAACAAAGGCAGGACACTGCAGTACAAAGAAAATTGCGAGACGGTGCACCGCTTTTGGACAGCTGGGACGCCTTTTGGGTGAAATGCAGGTTCTCTTACCTCGGATACTCTGGGCCTTTGCAGGGCTTTTTTCCTGAAGGGAAAGATCGGACCTCGGGGCCATGGTCCAACTTTCTCTTCATCTGAGAAAGAAAAAAGAAAGAGAGAGAAAGAAAATATCAGAAACCAGAACAGCATAAAAGAGTCTGTATTTTCAAACAAACACATAAAAAACTTTTTTTTGGCATAACCCGTTAATTCCTCTTTAAAAACTTTCTCTTGGAAACAGAGACTAAGTCCCTTTATTTGTAAGTAATCTTCTTAAGCTATCTCTTAAGAAAAGCACCTTAAAGAAAGGGCATGGCTCAGGCAGGTTTTTAAAAACAGTAGTGGAGGCAGAAAATTGCTTTTACAAGTTACAGACTTTGTTAACATTTCGTCTGAAATCCAGCACATTAAAATACAGACACCACAGTCTTGCAACAGCTTTATGCAAATGAGAAATTAAACTTTAATGTATAGGCTAGAGATTCAATTTATTACATGAACCATAACAAAGCACAAAGATATAACCTATCTGTGGATGAAGCATCTTAACGCTGTAAGATAGCGGCATACAAAGCAGGTGTTTGTTTTTACAACGCTGTGTGTAGTTTTGATTGTGTTCCGTGCTGAAGGCACATAACAAGCCAACAGTGATCCCTGGGCAACCAGACACCCAATAATATCCAGAGGCAAACACATTCACACCCAAACTCTGAGAGTACAGCATGTCCGTGCACACAAAAATCACCACAGAACTTTCCCAGGAAGGGTATTGGGTGCAGTCTCTGACACTGAAATGTGCTTCATACTGATACTTGAGGAAAAAAAACACAGCAAGTCGGTTCTTTATTATTCTCTATCACCTGCATGTGCGCACACCACCCAACCCTGTTACCACCTACCCTACTGCGCAAACAAAGGAGCCTGTGTAAAGGCCTGGGCAAGCCAATTTTCTTCATCCCATGCCTGCCACTCTCTCTGGCAAGGCTTCTCAACACACATGCAAGTGATCACCATCTCATCACCAGTCCCTCATGAATAAACAAGCTAGCTGAATAAGTGAACACTGATTTTTTTTTTTTTCTTTTTTCGAGTGTCTGGCCAAAATAAGATATACAATGTGACAGCCTGGCCTTGTTCTTTCATTAAATAAATACGTCCATGTTTAAGTGAAAGCTTTGCTAGATTTAAAAATGAAGCTGCAGATTCTACAAGGACACTAATCTAGACTACAAATGAGCTACATTATAAGAAAAGCAGTGTATTGTAAGAATTGAAACACGTGTAATTATGTGCATGAAGTAGAACCGCAAACTAACAATTAATAAATCAGTTATTTTCTCAATTAACTGGTCTATAAAACACCAAAAAATATAAAACAGTAAAATGTCAGCTTCCTAAAATGTACAGTAATGTCATAGGATTGTCTGTTTGGTTTGATCAGCCATCAAAAACATTTCCAAAAAATTAATTAGGCATCTCATTAGATAAATAAAAGCAGCAAATGATAAGCAGCAACTAGAGAACGTGTGGCATTTTATTTTACAATGACAAACAATTATTCAGTTACTATAATGACAGATTAATCAACTAATGTTCGCAGCTGTAGCATGAATGATTTATTCTTCAGCTGTAGCACATGGCATGTTTTTCACAAGATTACAGCACTCGGCAATTTAGGGTCAAAAGTATTTAGCAACAGTTTGTCTACAGTTACAGTCCGGCCTGCTGTGCTGCAAGACACAACCTGTACTGGAAAATTTGTTCCTTCTGTCCTTCTGCCGTTGTATAATCTGATAATAGCTTGTAGAAACCAGAAACCAAATTTAAATTTAACTTCTTTTCCCCCCTTTGAGGCAAACAAAGCTCTTTTGATGCAGTTGTTGGTTTTGGTATTGTAGTATTGTTTCCTACACAGGAAAACAGCGCTGGACATTTGACTCCATACTGTCTGGCTCTACAGCGGCATGATTGCACGTCTCTTCTCAAGATGTGTGTTTTTTTTTTGTTTATCACTATAATTTGGTGAGGGTGTGTGTTAAGTGTGTCTGTCTGTTTGTCCTGTGTGTTTTCAGCCTCAGGGGCGCACAGGAGCGTCGAGCACAGCCGGCGATGACCAAAGAGAAAAGAGTGCAAAAAAAAAAAAAATGCAAACAAACACGTATTGTCTGGAACCTCAAGAATGCTGAATAACGAGCAGGTTATCAGCAGTTAGATGAATGAATTAGTGATCAGTACAGCATTCCTACCTGAGTATTTAGTGCAGTGCACGGAAATAACTGACAGTCAACCAAAGCCTGCGCTTAGACAAGCTTGTGTACATGATTAGCACACCAATATGCACTGCAGGTTAGGTGCCCTGTGGGACACAAGACTGTGATCTGACCAGTGATTTGTGATCTTTTTCCCCCACAATGCAGCTCATGTGTAAAGCTGCTGAGAGGTTCAAGGGAAGGGCCATAAAAAAGTATTTCATAAGGAAAATGTAGAAAAGAAGATGTAAATATGGTCCAAATGTTTTCAAAGCTAGACTGGTACTCAGCTTACGTTACACTTGCCGACATTTAAAGCTTGTTTGATTGTTTTTAAGATATTCACGGTTGTTACGACGCGGCTCTTAAACCCTTGTTCTTAAAGCGGTGATCTCACTGCAATGGCAGTTCAGTAGCCAAGGAGAGCCTGGGTGTGTGTATGCATGCAGTGGGTGTGTGTGCGTATGTTTTGTGTGTGTGTTTCCGAGTATGAGAGAGAGACGGAGAGAGAGAGAGAAAAAGGGGGAGCGCTGGCTGGCTTTGAGTATGTCCGACTCTGTGTGTGCACATGTGAGAAAACCTCAAACTAAATGCGGGCATGAGAGAAAAAAAAGAGAAAAAAAGCCCAGCGTGTAACCAGCCTCTTCTTGTGTTTCAGCCTGGGAAAAGGTAACCAGAGAGCGCAGTGTTTGTAAATCACTACCAATAAGTCGTCCCTCCTTCCCCTGGCTTCCCCCTTCCCTATCTGGCCAAAAGCACGACAGATGGATACGCAGAGAGTTAATGATATTTTAAAGATAGCAATCACTCTTACATAATGTGTTGATTCATTTCAATAGAGACGACATCCCGCGAGCATCAGTCACTTGAAAAATCTTTTCTCATTTTTCAAACAGTGTTTCAAGCAGCCATGAAAGACTTTTCCCCCCCTTGTCAATCAGCGTTGTTAGAAACACTTGCAATCTCTGAACTAGCCATTTTGAAAAGAAGTGGCAAGTTGTCGCCTTCTTAAGGATCACAACCGCAATCAAGCCGGAAAGATGGGTTTCAACTTGTCCTTAAAACACCAATCTTGTCGTTTCGGTTTTGCCACTGCGAGCCGAGCGCGGCGTTAAAACATTGGAGCCCTACACAGCGACTTCAAAACCCTGATATCTTCCAATGAGTACATCCACAAAATGGATGGAGAATACAAATGAGCCAACATTCAAATCTACAAACTGCTACCCCGCTGATTGAGAATGACATTCCCACCTAATTATTAGGATTAACCGAGCACAATCTTCCACCACAAGGGAGTCTCTGCATCAGAATTCAAACTATACCTGATTAACAAATTTGTTTACATTACACTCTCTGAATTACAGATTCCCTTTCATGTTGTTTTTTTTTTTTCCTGTTGTTTGTACTCTGCATTTCCAGCGAAAGGGAGCATCGTTTTATGGCTGCCGTCCAGCATAATACACCCAACATCCTTGAGGATATTCTACCTCACGCAGTCTGACACAGTGACCCATTATCTGTGGTTGGAGCCTGAGGCGAGTGCACAATGTCAGGGAATAGGCTACTCCAACAGGCACGGGCGGACCGATCACATGCATCTCAAGCAGTTACTTTGGTCACTGCAAGATAACCACTGCTGCATAATGTAGGAGCATAATAACCCTGCAAACTGGGGAGGACTGCAGGGAAGGGAGGGGGGTGAGGGAGGGGGGGGGGAGGAAGTGGTCTGTTTATGTGCTGCAAACTGACATTACTAGCAGTTAAAGTCAGCATGCAGTGAAGCATGGATGGAGGTGATATAAGCCATGCATATGCAGAATGTATGTTGAAGCTAAAGCAGGTTATGTGAAAGGGAGGACCACAGTTGATGTACAGGTGCAGGCATCCAACCAACACGGGCGAAACGGGGAGGTTTTAATGCCATCCAGAAACGGGAGTGTATAAGGAGGGAATATATTCTAATCTAGCATTGCGGAACGAAAGTGGCGTTTTACGCACAGAAAGAGCATCCTGAAATCACAGCAGTGGCGTCTATTTACACAGCTGAAGTTGCACTACGAAGGGAAAGGATGCCAAATCGCGTCGTGGTATTACAACATTTAACGCAGCGCTAACATAACATTAAGGCCCAGGCAATTAAAGAGGCGTCTCTGGGGGTCTGCTACACTGCTGTTCATCCTCCGCAGTGGCCGCACAATCTGTCGAGAGAGGCGCGTCAAAGATAATGTGGGCGACAGAGCGAGTCAAACATTAAATCATAGCAGGATGAGGATGTGCTTTGGAGGTGACACGGCGGCGGACGCCAGCGCGAATCCTACTCACTTTGTAGAAAATCATCTTTAAAGTGCCGTAGAACCCCATCCTTGTAATCCGGTGTGTTTCCCCTTTTTTTTCCTCTTCAGTGACAATCGGTGGAGTCCGAGCGTGTGTGCGCGGCGGGCAGATCGCAGTGACAGTGTGAGGGCAGTGTACTCTCAGGTAAATCCGACGCCGTCTCTGATGTGAACATGCTCGGGCACGTCACCGGACTGGCGTGCATGCGGTAGATTCCCCCGGTGAAGGCATCAGAAAACCGGAGGGATGGGGATTGGAAAGAGCTCCGGCGGATCACTGAGAAGACGAAAATAATAATAAAAAATAAAAAAAAACACGGGGGGGCTAGGTCGATGGGTGAAACAATGCGATGCGACGATCCCGGAGGCTTGTGTGCGCCGCCGAACCAGCCTCACACCGAGCAAGGGAGTGAACAGATGAGGGAGGAAGAGGGTGACACTCGGCAGAAAAGGGGAGGAGTGCAGGGGAAGAGCGTCAGAGCGCAGAGCAGTGCCCTCTTCCTCTTCACA